GGCAAGATGTCTTGCAGAGGACCGGAACCCTTTCTAATCACAGGCTGAGGTTGAAGATGTACTGCAGCACTGAACCCAGTTGGTCCGTGCAGATCTTTAGCACCCTGGAGCTGACACCATCAGGACCCGCTGCCTTCCCTGCATGGAGTCTCCTCAACTCCCTTCTGACCTGGTCAGCTGTGATGGATAGGCCGAGGAGGGCAGGGGAAGATGGAGTAGGAGCAGGAGGGATCACATGATGGGGAGACTGAGGACATGAAGAGGGTGTCTGGGGTGAAGGCCTGTAAGGTGATTGGACAGTGGACCCTGTATTGAATCTGTTAAAGAAAAGATTCAGCTCATTGGCCCTCTCCAGGCCTCCCTCACTCTGTTGGCCGCCGGACAACTTGTATCTGGAGATCTTCCTCATGCCATTCCACACTTCTCTCACATTGCTCTCCCTCAGCCTGTCCTCCATTTTCCTCCCATAAGCCACCTTGCTCTCCCTAGCTCTCACCTTCAGGTAATGTTAAAAGTTCAAGCCTGCTTGCTTCTTTCTGCTGCTTAAAGTGAGGTGTTCTGGCGCCCACACAGGAATACGTCTCCCTGGCTTAGTGTGTAGTGATTTCATGAGGACACCAAGGGTCAGGCACACAAGACATCTCTTGAGATTCCAGTGCTGAGACCTCCACCTGTATAGTTGAATGCTGCTGAGTTTCCTGTGCATGCTGGTGTACTGATGGGACTCCACAGTGCCCTGACGATTGGAGATAGAGAATGGAAGTTCTTCATCAAGCCCAATGACCAGATAACTGACTTATCAGAGGTGAGGACACAAACCTACCCCTGGCTGCTCTCGTGGGGGTTGCTGTTCACACTGACACAACCTTCAAATCCGAAGACCAGTGTCCTGGTAAAGTCAAGAGCAGTATCTTAGTAAAGTTAAGAACATTACACAAACACAGGAAGAACAGGTCACATGAACACAGGAAGAACATGTCACACAAGCACAGGGAGTACAGGTCACACAAACACAGGAAGAACAGGTCACACAAGCACAGGAAGTACAGGTCACACAAACACAGGAAGAACAGGTCACACAAACAGGGAGTATAGGTCACGAACACAGGAAGAACATGTCGCACAAACACAGGAAGTACAGGTTACACAAACACAGGAAGAACAGGTCACACAAACAGGAAGAACAGGTCACACAAGCACAGGAAGTACAGGTCACACAAACACAGGAAGTGACTGTTGTGAGTCATGAAAGTGACAGCTCAGCCCGATGGAGTGGCTCTCCTGGCTCGTCCTGGGCTGCTGAGCCCTGCAGGGTGTGGAAACGGGCCAGCAGGACCCTTGGAATTACAGATGTTGGCCAATCTTCGCAGCTTCAGCTAATGTGATAAGTGGCTTGCAGGCCCTGTGCAGACACCACTATAAATGAATCCACAGATGCTAGCGCCTAATTAGAACGAGTCCTGCTGGGAGCCCCTCAGCCTGT